CAGGCTGGAGTGCAGTGCTGCAATCTCGGCTCACTGCAGCCTTCGCCTCCTGGGCTTAATCAATTATCCCACCTCAGCTTCTTGAGTAGCTGGGACTACAGGTGCACACCACCACACTCAGCTACTTTTTGTATTTTTTGTAAAGACAGGGTCTCGCCATGTTGTGAAGGCTGGTCTCAAACTCCTGGCCTCAAAGTATCTGCCTGCCTTGGCCTCCCAGAGTGCTAGGATTACACGTGTGAGCCACCACGCCCAGCCAAACAATGCTCTCATAAACAACCAGTGGTCAATAAAGAAATCACAAGGAAATTAGAAAATACTTTGACATTAATTTTTAAAAAATAACATACAAAAATGTATGGGGTGTGGAAACTGTTTTATAGGTGTAAACATTAAGTAAAGATCTCATTAACCTAAGTTGCCATCTTTAAGAAACTACAGGAAAAAGAAAATAAAACACAAAGCTAGCAGAATGAAGGAATAATAAAGATAAGAGCAGACATATACAAAATGGAGAGCAAAAAAACACTAGAGAGAATCAATAAAACCACAAGTCAGTTCTTTGAAAAGAAATTGACAAATCTTTAGCTAGACTAACTATGAAAAAGAAGAAAGAAACTGCAGTAAAATGAGAAATGAAAGTGGGGACATTACTACAAACCTTACAGAAATGAAAAGGATTATAAGAAAACACCATGAGGAGGGTGAAGCAAGATGGCTGAATAGATGCTTTCACTGATTGTTCCCCTGCTAACCTTGCAGGAACACCAATTTAATAACCATCTACACACACAAAAAAGCACCTACATAAGAACCAAAAATCAGGTAAGCAATCACAGTACCTGGTTTTAACCTCACATAGCTGTAACAGGCACTGAAGAGGGTAGAGAAGACAGACTTGAATTGCTGACACCGCCCCTTCCCCATTCCTTCCGCAGCGGCCATGAGATACAGAGCATCTGTGCTCTTGAGGGAGGGAGAGCACAGTGATTGTGGTACTTTGCATTGAACTCAGTGCCGCTCTGTCACAGTGGGAAACAAAACTGGACTAAACTCAGCCAATGCCCATCCATGGGGGCAGCATTTAGATCAGCCCTAGTCAGAGGGGAATCGTCCATCCCAGTGGTTAGAACTTGAGTTTTGGCAAACCTTTCTACCATGGAAAAGGTGCTCTGGGGTTCTAAATAATCTTGAAAGACAGTCTAGGCCATGAAGACTGCAATTCCTAGGTAAGTCCTAGTGCTAGTGCTGGCCTTAGAGGCAATGGACATGCGAAACTAGCCAGGGTGGCTAAGGAAGTTCTTGTGACAACCCTTCATCAACCACAGGCAGTGCATCCTGCAGCAAAACAAACAAACAAAAAGACTCCTTCCTTCTGCTTGAGAGGAGAAGGAAGAGACTTTGTCTTGCATCTTGGATACCAGCTTAGTCACAACAGGATAGGGCACTGGGCAATCATGAGGCCCCCATTCCAGACCCTAGCTCCCAGATGACATATCTAGACACACGCTTGGCCAGAAGGGAATGTATTGCCTTGAAAGGAAGGACCAAGTCCTGGCAGGATTCATCACCTGTGACCAAAAAGCCCTTGGGCCCTGAAGAAACAGGAGTAATACCCAGACAGTAAGCCGTGGGCCTTGGGTGAGACTCTGAGATGTTCTACTTTCAGGTACCAGCTTGGCCACAGAGGAGTAGAGCACAAAATGGGCTTTTGGGGTCCCTGATTCCAGGCCTTGGCTCTTGGATGGCATTTCTGGACCTGTCCTGGCCCAGAGGGGAGCCCTTTGCCCTGAAGTGTGAGTCCCAGGTGTGGCAGCATTTGCCACAAGCTAACTGAAGAGTCTTTGAGCCTTCAGTGAACATCAGTGATAGCCTGGCAGTACCCACCATGGGTCTACGGTGATGGTGGCCATGTGGAGAGAATCCTCTGCCTATGATAAGGAGAGGGAAGAGTTACAGTTTAAGTGCCGGCTTAGCTGCAATAGAATAGAGCACCAGATAGATTTCAAAGGCTTTGGACTCTAGTCTTTGGCTCCCAAACAGCATCTCTGGACCTGCTCAGGGGCTGGGGGAAACTTGCTGCCCTGAAGGGAAGGACACAATCCTGGCTGGCTTCACCACCTGCTAATTGTAGAGCCATAGGGTCTTAAGCAAACATAGGTGGTAGCCAGGTAGAGTTTACATAGGGCCTAGGGTAAGACCCAGTCCTATGCTGGTGTCAGGTCTGAACCAGGGAAATCCCAGTGGTGGAGGCCACGAGGGTGATTGTGTCCCCCTACTCCCAGCTCCAAGCAGCTCAGCATAGAGAGAGAGACTCCGAGAAAAATAAGGGTAGAGAACAGGAGTCTCTGCCTGGTAATCCAGAGAAATCTTTTGGATCTTATCCAAGACCACCAAGTGGTACCTCTACAAGACTGCAAGAACCACAGTGTTACTGAGCTTAGGGTTCCCCTTAATGCAGATACAGCTTAGATCACAACATCTAAGTCCTTTCAAAAACCTGGAAAACCTTCTCAAGAAAGACAGGTATAAACAAGCCCACACTGTGAAGACTACAGTAAATACCTAAACTCTTCAATACCCAGACACTAGTAAACATCCACAAGCATCAAGGCCATCAAGGAAACCATGACCTCTCCAAATTAACTAAATAAGGCATCAGGGACCAATTCTGGAGAAACAGAGATACATGATCTTTCGGACAGAGAATTCAAATTAGCTGTTTTGTGGAAACATAAAGAAATTCAAGACAATACAGAGAAGGAATTCAGACTTTTATCAGATAAATTTAACAAAGAGATTGAAATAATTAAAAAGAATCAAGTGGATATTCTGGAGGTGAAAAATGCAACTGAAATATTGAAAAATGCATTAAAGTCTCTTAATAGAAGCATTGATCAAGGAGAAGATAGAATTAGTGGTCTGGAATTCAGGCTATTTGAAAATGCTCAGTCAGAGGAGACAAAATAAAAAAGAATAAAAAAGAATGAAGCATGCCTACATGCTAGAACTAGAAAAGAGCCTCAAAGGGCAAACTTAAGAGTTACTGGCTTTAAAGAGGAGGTAGAGAAAGAGATAGGAGTAGAAAAGAATAATAACAGAACTTCCCAAACCTAGGAAAAAATATCAATATTCAAGTACAAGAAGGTTAAGGAATACCACACAGATTTAAGTCAAAGAAGACTACCTCAAAGCATTTAATAATAAAACTCCCAAAGGTCAAGTATAAAGAGAAGATCCTAAAAGCAGCAGGACAAAAGAAACAAGAATAAATATAAATAAAGCAGTGGCAAAAAATGCTATAAAATCACACAATGGCCTGTAATCCCAGCACTTTGGTGGGCCAAGGAGGGCGGATCATGAGGTCAAGAGATTGAGACCATCATGGCCAACATGGTAAAACCTCATCTCTACTAAAAATACAAAAATTAGCTGGGTGTGCTGGTGCACACCTGTATTCCCAGCAACTCGGGAGGCTGAGGCAGGAGAACTGCTTGAACCCGGGAGGTGAAGGTTGCAGTGAGCCAAGATTACGCCACTGCACTCCAGTCTGGCAACAGAGCAAGACTCTATCTCAAAAAAAAAAAACAACGAAAAAAAAAAACACACACCATGGAACCAAATAATTGGATTACATTAGCAATCAAATGGTTTTTCACAATAAAGCTCTATCATTTAATGTTTTTTTAAAAAAGAAACAAGTAACATACAATGGAGCTCCAATTCATCTGGCAGCAGCCTTTACAGTGGAAGACTAGCAGGACAGGAGAGAGTGGTATTACACATTTAAAGTGCTGAAGGCAAAAAAAGAAAAGTACAATATGCATACTTGATTTATTAGTCTGATATAAATTGGTACCTTTACCATTTTCCAGACAATGCTAAGATCACAGAGCACTTTAACCCCACTCAACCCTTTTTACTTTTTGTGTTAGAACCATGTACTATAAACCTACATATATTATTATGTATATGCATGTTATATTTAAGAAGACATTAGTATTTATTTATAGTCAAAATGAATTTAGATATACATCTTTATCCTTCCTCTTATTCTTTGTTCCATTCTGTATTTCCATGTTTCTGTTTGAAATTATTTTTATTCTTCCTTTAGTATTTCCTTTACTGTAGGTCTGCTGGGATACATCTTCTCAGTTTTGATGGTCTGAAATATCTTTATTTTGCCTGACCTTTTGAATAATATTTTCACTGGGTATAGAATTCTAAGTAGACAGTTGCGTTTTTTCAGTATTTTAAAATGTCACCGCATCACCATCTGGCTTCTGTTGTTCCACTGAGAAATCAGCTTTGTCTTACTATCAATCTTTTCATGCTATCATGTCTTTCTCTCTAGTTGCTTTTAGTATTTTCACTTTATCTTTGATATTCAGCTGTTTAATTTCCCCAGGTATGTTTTCTTTATTGTCATTCTGTTTTGTGCTTCTTGAATTTGTAATTTCATGGCTTTTGTTAAATTTGAAAATTCTTAGTCATTATCTCTTAAAATTTTGTGTTTACCCCACAATCTTTCTAGCCTCCCTGTGCCTGAAATTACATGTATATTAGACACTAGTATTTTCTACTGACCAATTCACTAATCCACTTTTCAGCTATGTTCAATCTGCCATTATATCTTTTCCTAGTTAGATCTCTGACAAATCTTTTAACATTTTACTTGTTGAGTGGCAGGCAAAAGGTACTAAGTGAATATTTGTAGATCATCTGACACTTATCCTCACAAAAGTAAGCAGAAAGTAAATGAAACTTAAGTAAATATTTGCTACCATTAGCAATTTTTGGAAGCTCAGGGGTTGACTCATTAAAATTTATATGAATAACTAGTTTCATATAACAACTACATTTGATTTAAATGAAATGGAGCACTCTACAAAGGTTATATAAAAGTTGTCATAATTTAGGTTACATTTTATATATTTTATTATACCCCATGTTTTATACTGGCTTGATGTTAAAATCATTTTTTTAAAAAATACACTTACTCTCTCTCCTTTTCCGTCAGTTTGTCATTGATATTGTCTTTGATTGTTGATCTAGATCCCTTATGAATTATAGGATATCTGAGGGGCACTTGTAGGAAAAAGGAAATCATGGAGACCAAATGTGCAGTGTAACCAAGGGCAACAGCAATGCTTCCATCATCTTTTGCTGTAAATTCAAAAGCAGAGGAAAAGAAAATAACTATTTACCTTCTCAATAACCACAAGACAATCAATCATTTTCAAAGAATATTTTACAAAAATATGTGGTACATAAAATATCACTTATCTAAACTATATAAATGTTATGCAAATGTAAACATATTAACAAGACTTGAAACTTCATCTACTAACTGTATTTTAAACTATTTCCCAATAATTAATGTGATGAGATTAACATTCGATATATACCTTAAAGCAAGAACTCTTACTATATCCAGATAACCATTGCTTTCTTTCCCAGCATTTTTACAGGGAGAATTAATACTTGAGTCTATTACATGAAATGAAAATTAGTTTCAGAGGTTTAAACACAACAAACACACTATACAGTGGTTATACATTTTATTCATTAACAATTTCCTAGGCAATACAGTTGTACTATTTTACAAAATTATTAATTCTAAAGAGAAATGAAATAGTATAATCATTCTTAGGGGGTATGTTCTTGATATTGAAAAAGACAGTGTTACATAAATAAGTCTATGAAGTGTAATATGGGTTAAGGGGGAAAAGTTTTAAACAGCAAAAGCAAAAGGTGAAAAACACACTGTTCATATACCACCCTATTTATGCAATATAGGTGGAAGTAACTACTAGGAAAAAATGCAGGTATCTTATAATCAGACATAAGCATCTAGTTTTCAAAAAGCCACAGATAATTACATTTTTAAAACTTATCCAGATTTCTGCCAGTATCTATCAAGTGAGAAATGATGATTCGGGGCTAAGAACAGGGAGTAATACAACAGAAAGTTTTAAACTTCCCCCAAGAGGAAGGAAACAGGATCTTCTTGGTATACAGTATTCCTAAATGCTTCTAAAAGTGCACAAGTACATGTGTGTGCACTCATACACTAAAACATTTAACACATAATCTGGAATATACCATCTGGCTAGAGAAGAAAGGCTGAAATGATCACAATGGCCATGGCTTGACTATTCCCTGACTTCTAAGGGTGGCTTTAACCTCAATTACTAATAACATTTTCGCATTCTTCTTTCTATTTCTACTTAATTATCTAAGCACTACCTTCTTATGGTAGAAGTGCCACTATAGCCATCCATTCCTCAGTGAATTCTCTATCCTTAACTACCATAGCAGACTATTGGTTTTTCTTTGGTAGTCTTATAAAAATAGGTAACTATTTATATATGCATTTTATATATATACTTTTTTCCATCCAGAACTGTCTATGGTACTTTATATATGACATTCATTCACTTAACAGTGTTAAACAGCTTTGAAATGCTATTTCATTCCTTTTACAGATAAAGAAACTAAGGCTCAGAGATTAAGAAATCTTTCCAAAGTAATAGAGCTAGTAAACAGGTTGGCTTGTCACCCAATCCTCCACCATTAACCAGTCTACTGTACTGTCTCAGAACTTTATTGTTAAACATTAATATAACAATTATTTTTTTAAAAAAGATGGGGTCTCACTATGTTGTCCAGGCCGACCTCAAACTCCTGGGCTCAAGCAATCCTCATGCCTCAGCCTCCCAAGTAACTGGGACTACAGGTGTGTGCCACTGTGCTCAGTATATGACAATTTTTTAACTTGGGAGCCTGGAATGTACGAAGCATATGACACATGTGTACCACCTTAGTTTCTTCACAGTGTTCTAGTAAGAGCAAAGAACACATAAAAAGTCTGAGAATCCTCGATGACTTGCAAAGTACTCAACAGAAAATGGGCTTCTCAAGGAATGTCTGTTCTCTAAAACAAACTCACGGAAAAAAATCAAACAGCAGTCATTTTCAACCAACTACTGAGTCATGCCCTAACTAACTAGAATCCCAATTATTTTTAGAGACCATGTCCTCTTGCCCCAGTCCCACCCAAGTACCTGAATACTACCACAATGCTTTCCTTCTGCTGAAACCCATACATCAGACTACCTTAGGGACTAAAAGTACTTTACATTATATATTTGTTACATTATAAATTCATTATCATACAATAATATAACTAAGATAAACTTTTGCAATCACTGGGTGTGATGCTACCAACTTGGAGAAGACAGAAATGAAACCCAGGTGGTATAAATGGCTTGGTCAAAGCCATATAGGTAGAAACTATGAGTAATGAAATAACTGAGAGAACTGTGTCCACAATTCTCCAGAATATCTATATAGGTGTGGAGTCACAGCTGGAACTGTGAGTTTCTTCACAGGTCACTGAATTCTGTCTTGTGCTTTCCGTAAAGATTAGGTCTTATCAAATTTAAAATATTCCTGTCAGTAAAAGGACTTGATCTTCAATAATAACCTTTTGAAGGGAGAGGGAAAGAAGAAGAAGAGGAGGAGGATTCAAAGACAGATAATACTATGCTAAGTTGCAACTTCCCTCTATGTGCTTTATACAAAGCTTTTCCTTTCCCATATGACCTGACAGAAGAGGACCTGAAAAACTTCCAGAAAGCAGCAGGCCTCTTAGATTAGACTTTCAAGCAGGTCAAATGCAAACAATGAATATTCGAAAAATATCTATCTAATGCTAAACATTCAAGCATCTACATTTTTCCCATATTATGAAAGGAGAACTGCCAAAGAATTATATTTGTGTATTTTGAGACTACGTCCACATCTCTATTAAAAGAACAAAAAGTTGGTTTTCTAACATCACCTCCCACCAATGAACAAACAATTTTGTTTAAAGACAAAAAGGCATCTCTAAGAGAAGTCTACACACAGAAAACATAAATAAATAGCACACACTGAAAATTGAATAATATTGGAAATCGGCTTTGATTCAGGTTATTCACACTCACCATTCTTGCCACAAGTCTTCCCACTCCACCTATTAAAAATTCTAGGTTTCCCATTCCAGGCCACAGGGCTCCATCACAGCCTCAGTGTTAAACATTGTGGTGTTAGATTTCCAATATTGAAGCTTTATATTAAAAAGCATTTTAAAAGGACCACGGGTGAAGCATTACAGGGCCCAAGGGTATTCCAATACCCTCAAAAGGAAAACCACCTCCTGGTAGGGAAGTCACTTTCATCACCCCAAGACCACTGAATCTCCAGTGGGAAAATGTGAGCTCATGTGGTTAATTATGGCTATTGCAGACCATGCAACCTCAGATGTCACATTCTGTTGCCAATCACTTTAGCTAAAAAACCAAAAGGTTTAAGGTTTCCAGCATTGCAAGATCTGAAAGATTTTTACCTGCAACAGCCAAAACCCAGCTCTCTGGGGTGTGCTTTTCCAGTAAGCATTAATGACGTCCCTAACACCTAAGGCAGACCAGAGGTTTGTGTACCTTACGCTGTTCTGGGGGTTAGAAAAGTCACAGACGATAGTTTTGTTAGTGAGAAGTTGGAGCACGAGTGGAGGGTCCAGGGAGAAACAAGAATGAAGCTTAAGATTCAGGTATGTGAAAAAGATGCTAATTCCAACAAAGTTTTAAGGGGCTTGCAAATAAAATAAAAACCCACAGTTTCCTCGTAATAAATATTCCTGGTTTATTTTTAAAATGTAGGTAACCACTCAAGGCTGCAGCTTTTGTATACTTTTTATGACAACAAATTCCACAAACACACAATGGCCATGACAACATTATAAATTAATTCAAATGTTCCTTTGATTTATATGTTGGACAAACTATTAATATTGAAACGCATCCAAGTACAATAAGTGATCTAAAAGCTCTTACCATCCTGCCTTCCCAATCACTGAGGCAGCTGATTTGTTAAGGAACCAAGCACCCACTGATCCAGACAGGACAAAATATTTAAGACTCTAATCACTGCCACAGCATCTATGGAATCATTCCATGTTCTCAATGAGACACTGTTTGACATATGGACTCTCCTTTCCAAGAAATCATGCCTGCATAAAGGGATACACACACAGAAGGAAATCTGGGTCTCATTACCACAAAAGGCTCTCATGTTATGGATTACTTAAACACACACACGCACACAAACATTTTTTTTCAGGCTAAATGTCTCGGTCAGTGGAACTGAGATGAACACCCTTCACTGGACAATTTTCTCCCACTGTGTCCAGGTCTCCTTGGCATACTCCAGTAGTAACTTACCCATTTAGAAAAGCACAATAATGTTGGAGCACTACGGTGGAGTTTCCCAAACAGTATCACCCCATGCAGCGTAAAAGCTATCCCAGCAAAGTCTCATGAATATCACAGAATAACCAGCCTGGAGTTCCTTCACTAGAGGCTCTCCCAGAAAGCAGCTGCTATAGAATACTAAAAAGTTGTCACGGGTTTAAAGAGGTTATTATTCAAAGCAAGGAAGAAAACTGCATTGTGGCAGGAATTATACCAATCTTAGAATCAGGCAGACCAGGAATAATCTTAGGTTTATCACTGGTTAGTATGACTCCTTGGAAAAAATTAACTAATCTCTCTGAGCTTCCATTTTCTTTTTCTTTTCTTTTCTTTTCTTTTTTTTTTTAATTAGGGTAAATTTCTTTCCTCACAGATGGAATTAATTCTCACAGTTGTGAGAATTAGGGTAAATGTGAGAACATCATGATGTTCCATGTTATTATATTTCTTTCCCTTTTTTATTTTCTATGTTGAAATGGGTTCTCACTCTGTCACCCAGACTGGAGTGCAGTGGCATAATCATAGCTCACTACAGCCTCAAACTCCTGGTCGCCAGCAGTCCTCCCACCTCGGTCTCCCAAAGTGCTAGGATTACAGGCATGAGCCACGACGCCCAGCCTATGTTACTATATTTCTACCAGCCTAAAATGTCTTCTTACTCTTTTTTCTACTGGAAAATATCATTTTATTTCTTAAGACACTGAAATCATCTTCTCTGTAAGTTTTCCTGATCCCCTCCTGATAGAAGTGATATTCTCACTTTTTTGAGTACCATGTACCTGCTATAAACTTCTAAGTGCCTGACACAGAGTATGAATTCAATAAATACTTATTGATTGTCTGGATTACAAATCTGGTATCCTCAACTGGACTATAATCTCACTGAGGCAGGATCAATGTCTTAACCATCTCTTACATCCTCAACACCTGGCACCGTGGATAACATACACAGAACACTCAATACATTTAGTAAATGGAAGTGCCTTGCAGGATACTAACATAAGATTTTTTGTTTTTGCTTTTGTTTTTAGACAGAGTCTCGCTCTGTCGCTCAGGCTAAGTGCAGTGGCACAATCTCAGCTCATTGCAACCTTCGCCTCTGGGTTCAAGCGATTCTTGTGCCTCAGCCTCCCAAGGAGCTGAGATTACAGGCGTGTGCCACCACACCCAGCTAATTTTTTGTATTTTTAGTAGAAACAGGGTTTCACTATGTTGGTCAGGCTGATCTCAAACTCCTGACCTCAAATGATCTGCACACTTCGGCCTCCCAAAGTGCTAGAACTATAGGCATGAGCCACTGCGCCTGGCCAACTGCATGTGCTTCTTAAAATTTCTGATTCCTAAGGGTGATGGGGACAGGACCTTAGAGTAAAATGAAACATTTATTTCATTTTATCTCACATTTTGTTTTTCAACAACTGCACTAAAAAGCTACACTAATTAAAGGGTAGGGAGACTGTATTCGGCTTGTTGGGCATGCTAAGTGTAGATAACTATAAAAGCTATGAAAAACTAGGAGAGAAGGAATTTCAAAGAAAACAAAATAGAATCAAGACACATCTCAGAGTAATCAGACCACCACTCCTGACATTCCTGCTTCCCTGACTGCCCCCTTCAAATCATTCTGTATTTAGCAGCCAGAGTGACTTTTAAAAGCCTAACTCAGCTCATGCCATTCCGCTTCTTGAAGTCCCTCAGGCATTTCCTACTTCCTTGAGAATTAAATACCAACTCCTTACCGTGACCTCAAGGCCCTGGCTGCCATCTCCTACCTCCTCTAAAGTAGCTCTTCCCTCGCTCACTATGCTCCAGCTGCACACGTCTGGTCTTTCCTGTCCTTCCTTCCTCTCTCTTTTGCAACTAATTCCGATTATATTTGAGTATCTCCTATATGAAAAGCCTTTTCAAATGTTATTTCATTCAATCATCACAAGAAATTACAGATATAGATATCTCATTTTATAAGAAATTAAGCTGAAAGATTACATGATTTACCCAAAATACAAGTCTTTTCTCACATTCCCCCAACACTGAGTTTTTTGAGAGATGCCAAGCCCATTCCTCCTTCATCATCACCTTTGTACTTGCTGACACGTCTCCCAGAAATGCTCTTCCCCCAGCTGCAGCATAGTTGGCTCCTTTTAGCCTTCAATTTTATACTTCTCCTTAAAGAAGTCTTCTTTGACTGCTTTATCTAAAGCCGTTTCTTCCATTCTCTGGGATAGCATATTCCTCTATTAAATATTTGCTAGTTACTTATTTTCTTGTTTACTGGCTGTCTCCCCCAATAAGCTCCATGGAAGGAGAAAACATGTTTACTTTCTGCATCATTGTATCCTCAAAGGCACAGTGCCTGGCATTTAGATGTTCAATGAACATTTTTTTCAATGAATGATGTTCTGTATCCCAGGAAACTGGTACGGGACAAAAGTACTCAATATGTTTACTAAATGAATAAATGAGGAAAATGATGCACCATGGGCTTCAAGACACCACAACTTTGCCTAAAATTAACATCAAAACACATTTCTATGAGTGTCTTACAGATATCTGAGGGAGCACTATGAAATGGAAACCAGACAAATCCCAGCTATATTATTACCTGGCTTTGTGGTCTCAAGCAAGTTACTGAATACAATTTTCCTTATAGGATCCCTTTGTTTGTTTTTGTGAGTATTAAAGATTAGGCAAAATCTTATGTATTTATAGCTACTGGTATACCTCACTTAATTTTTCACAACAATCATATAAGACAGGTAGGGCATAAATTAATAGTTCATTCAATCAATTAGGAAATCAACTCAAAGGTTACACGACTTGTTCCAAATTACATGGTTTATAGAAGGGCAATCAGGACTTGAACATAGGTTTTCTAGCTCCTGGTTTATCACTCTCCTTTTATCACATCCAAAGTACTTACAAGTAAGGGCCCAACGGGGTAACAAAACACTCTTAGATGTTAAATGATCACCAATAACAACAGCTTCTTTATAGGAAAACGAAAGTCCTGATCAAAACTAGCAACGCTCTCTTCTTCTTCGGTAACTTCTCAAGTAGATAATATGCTGGCTTTGGGAATAATCTATAAAGATATTCAGTAGGCCTCAAAGCATTGTTTAGCCTAAGGGAAAAGAACCCACTTTGCTAACAATAAAAATAATCACTGATATGCCAAAGAAAATAAATTCTTTGGAATATTTGCAAAGTGAGTAGGAAAAGCAAAAGATTTTAAAATATAGAAATTACTAAGGATCATATTCTATAATACTTTTAATGTAATTTATTTATTTTCAGTTAAAAGATAAGAAAAATGGTAGTATAACAAATTAAGCCTGTGGTAATGGAAACTTCACAAAATTAAATTTTCAAATACTTTTCAGGTCAGCAGTAATATGACTTTCTAAATAGTAACAGAACAGATTTTGTTTGCTATTCCTCTGCTCCCAAACACACACAAATTTTTCATAAAAATCGAACCAAAAGGAAGGGCAATTATTTGTATTCTTAAGAACCCTACCGCCTAATTTGCTTAAAGCCCATTTAAAAACTATTTTCTTTTAAATTTCTAATATAAAGTTCAGTAATTATTTTTCTATGATCAGAACTAACATTCTATCTCCTATCAAGGAGTCTGACATACATACTTGCAATTGGGAAAGTACAGAAGGTCCAAAAATTCTTTTGGATAAAGTGCTAGGCAAAGAGCATTTCAAGATATTCTATTTCCATATATTAATATATACCAAATCTTCAAAATAAAAAATAAAATACCTTGGAAGTCCTCAGAATTAGGCAACTTGACACCACATACAAAGTAATCCTTATGTTCATTCTGTGAATTTAATTAAAGAATAAAATTAATAAATAAAGCAAACAACCGCTAAGTCAAATGTCAAATCTCAAACAAACTCTAAGTCAGCAGGTTTGTGCTGACTTAAAACACTGTTCTAAATTCCAAGTACTATCATAATTGTTGAAGCTGGATGATAAGTACATGATGATTCATTCTACTCTCCCCCTACATTTACATATACTTGACATTTTCTATAATAACATTTAAGACATTATGCCCAAGGAAAAAGCCATGTAAAATTATCATCATAAAAATATCCTTGGTTCATTCACATATATAAATAGTTTAATAAAATTCTATAAGCAAACTCAAATCCTATTAGCATTCTTCTCTGAAAATTAGTCTTTTAAATAACTTGTCATTAAAAAGAAAACTATCAAATTTAGCAGATTTAGTTCTCTGAAAAATAATTCTAATCAATTTTATTAAAGTTTTCCTTTATTCACTCCTAAGAAACTAGGCTCAAAACCCTAATAGCCTGACAGTTAACCCAGGAATATCTTAAGTAACACTAATACATGAAAATTATCAATCATCTTTTTAAAACAATACACATATATATGTCAGAAATGATGATAATGGGCCAGGTGCCATGGCTCACACCTGTAATCCCAGCACTTTGGGAAGCCGAGGCGGGTGGATCACAAGGTCAGGAGATCGAGACCATCCCAGCTAACACAGTGAAACTCCGTCTCTACTAAAAGTACAAAAAAATTGGCCGGGCGCTGTGGCTCACGTCCATAATCCCAGCCCTTTGGGAGGCCGAGGCAGACGGATCACAAGACCATCCTGGCCAACATGGTGAAACCCTGGCTCTACTAAAAATATAAAAATTGGCTGCACGTGGTGGCATATGCCTGTAATCCTACCTACTCAGGAGGCTGAGGCAGGAGAATCACTCGAACCAGGGAGTCAGAGGTTGCAGTGAGCCAGGATCATGCCACTGCACTCCAGCCTGGCGACAGAGAGAGACTCTGTCTAAAAAAAAAAAAAAATTAGCTGGGCATGGTGGCGGGCACCTGTAGCCCCAGCTACTCGGGAGGCTGAGGCAGGAGAATGGCATGAATCCGGGAGGCGGAGCTTGCAATAAGCCGAGATCGCATCACTGCACTCCAGCCTGGGCAACAGAGCGAGACTCTGTCTTAAAAAAAAAAAAAAGAAGAAGAAGAAATGGTGATAATGGATAATGTGGTTAAGTAAAAAGATCCTAAAGAAACCAAAATAATTTGGCAGTCTTTCAGATGATGAATGCATCCCACCACCAAAGTGATATAAATGAAGTAGTAGAACCTAAGACCAAACAAGTCTAAATCTATGATTTAAACAGACATTAGCTTCTGAATGAATCATGACAGAGCACAGATTAAGCCTAGAGCAATGAGTTTTTTCATTGAGAGGAAATTTCACACAGAAATCATCTTTTCAAAAAGAAAAATATTTTCAGAAAATTTGAAACTTACCAAATCAATAGGGTAAATGTAGGAAAGCTCAGAGAGTAATTGCCTGCAACGAATTGTCAACTGAGCATTAGTCTTCAAAAAGAGTTCTCTAATGAGGAAAGAAAAAATACATTTATTAAAAAATATATGCTTGCATGCTTTGTAACATTTATTTCCATACAATTAATGCAAAGAAAGATTATGCCGTCTGTAATGGGCCACAGAAACTCTGAAGTAGAAGCATAAATAATAGCTACCATAAGTCTTGACCTATCTCCAAACAGTATCAATCAAGCTAACTATACACTGAGTGCTACTCTGTATGATTAGTACCATGCTAAGAAATGTAAAGGGGGCTGGGAGTGGTGGCTCACTCCCATAATCCTAGCACTTTCGGAGGCCCAGGAGTTCAAGACCAGCCTGGGCAATATAGGGAGATCCCATCTCTATAAAAATAAAAAAATTAGCTTGGCTTGGTGGCATATGCCTGTGGTCCCAGGTACCTGGGAGGTTGATGGAGGAGGACTGCTGGGGCCTAGGAGGTTGAAGCTGCAGCGAGCCCTGATCATGCCACTGCACTCCAGCCTAGGCACCAGAGCAAGGCACTGTCTTTGAAAAAAAAGAAATGTAAAGGGTACAAATGGCCTTATGTAGTTACTATAACAACTCTAGTAGGTTAATATTATTTATATCTATTTATAAAAAAGGAAACAATATTTGGAGAGTCTGAGTAATCTGACCAAGATTTCACAGTTAATTTAATGAGGCCAATTTGATTTCAAGAGAGATCTGGATGGTATTTCTTCAAAAAGTGTTCTATATTTCACTAAAAATTACGTATTAGAATTACCTCAAAAACCAACACGTTGGACTGTGAGAAAAAAAGTTAAAAATAACAAATAAAAAGCTATAGCATGAAATTACCCTTCTCTCTCTCTTTTTTTTTTTTTTTTTTTTTGAGACAGGGTCTCACTCTGTCACTCAGGCTGGAGTAGTGGCATAATCTTGGCTCACTGCAGCCTCAACCTTCCCAGGCTCAGGTGATCCTCCCACCTCAGCTTCCTGAGAAGCCGGGACTACAGGTGCACTCAACAATGCCTAGCTAATTTTTGTATTTTTTGCAAAGACAGAGTTTCACCATGTTGCCCAGGCTGGTCTCAAACTCCTAGGCTCAAGCTATCTGCCCGTCTCAGCCTCCCAAAGTGCTGGGATCACAGGCATGAGACACTGTGCCTGGCACCAGCTTTTCTCTTGCACTACTTAAGAAACATGACCAATAGGTAAAATACCTGTAAAGTAAGTTGCCTGATCAACTGTGTCAAGAATTTAAGAACAAAAGGAATTTAGGAGAAACTGTAGGTCAGAGTGTAAAAAACCTATAGTATAATGCAAAGAGCACTGTGGTATAACATGACATATATATGGTCTTTGTCCCTGGTTCTTATCACGGAGCACCTAAAATCCCTTGGAATTTCCTGAACGATAAGAGTGTCTTTTGCTATTCATTATGAGCCCCTTTTGATCACACCAGAGTTTATGCTAATGAGATGTGTTAAGGCAGGGGCTCCTAGACAGCCTCAGGATGGAACTGGTCACTAGAAAGACCAAGAGATTAGAAGGTTGGACTTTCTTCCCCACCCACCAAACTCTGAGAAGAGGGCTGGAGATCGAGACCTATGCAAACTCTTGCACAACAAGATTTAATAAGCTTCCAGACTGGCGGTGTCTAGAGACTGATGTGCACAGACAGGACCTGGAAGCTCCATGCTCCCTCCCCAATACTTTGCCCTGTGCATCTCTTCCATCTTGTTCATCTGTATCTTTTGTAATGTCCTCTATAATAAACCAGTAAGGGTTAAGTAAATGTGTCTCTGAGTTCTGTGAGCTGCTCTAGCAAATTAATCGAATCCAAGGAGTGGGTTGTGGGAACCTCTATTTAAAGCAGGTCAATCAGAAGCACAGGTCACAACCTGGGGCTTGCCAACTGGCATCTGATGTGGTGAGGCAGTCTTGTGGGAATGAATCCTTAATTCTGTGGGATCTGATACTATTTGCAGGAAGACAGAGTGAGAACTGAATTAAATTATAAGACACACAGTGAGGGTGTGCTGGAGAATCTAATGTCAAAAGCATTGTATTGAGTGGTATGTAACAGTACTAAAATCACTGGTATTTTTCTTATCTAAAACAGCACTGAAGACATAATGGGATCTAGTCTTGGCTTTGCTAGTGAGTTGGACAAATAGTAACTTACCAGAGCATTGCCTTCCTATCTGCAAATTGAGAAAATAGAATAGATACTCTCTATGGTTTTCTCTAGGTCTAGCACTTTTTTTATTTTATTTTATTTTATTTATTTGTTTTTGAGACGGAGTCTCGCTCTGCCATCCAGGCTGGAGTGCAGTGGCGCGACTGGCTCACTGCAAGCTCTGCCCCCCCGGCTCACACCATTCTCCTGCCTCAACCTCCCAAGTAGCTGGGACTATCCGTGCCTGCCACCATGCCTGGCTAATTTTTTGTATTTTTAGTAGAGAGAGGGTTTCACTGTGTTAGCCAGGATGGTCTTGATCTCGACCTCATGATCTGCCTGCCTCGGCCTTCCAAAGTGCTGGGATTACAAGCGTGAGCCACCGTGCCCGGCCGGTCTAGCATTTTCAAATCTCCAAGTGCTACTAAACTTTTTTGAAGAAAAGTGCAAGATGGATGGACTTTCCAGGAAAAGCAAGTGAAGATGAGCAAAGCAACCGAGGCACCAATGAATTAAGCAAATGTTGGAAAAAATGAAGAGAAAAATGATTGGCATTTGTTAAATGAATTTTGGGAGAGCGACTAAAATTAACTACAGTTGCATAGTGCCAATTTATTAAAGGATATTTGAAAGTTAAGCAAAAGGATCACCATATTAAGAAGATAAAAATGTCAGGCACGATGGCTCACACCTGTAATCCCAGCACTTTCGGAGGTTGAGGTGGAGGATCACTTGAGGCCAGAAGTTTGAGGCCATAGTGAGCTATGACTGTACCACTGCACTCAAGCCTGGGTGACACAGTGAGACCCTGTCTATGGGTGACACAGTGAGACCCTGTCTATGAATGAATGAATGAATGAAAGAAATGTTTCTCCAAGTTTTAAAAAAAAGAAGACAAAAAATGAGGTAAAAATGGTATTTTAAGAGGAGAGTTCTGATAGTAGCATGGAGAACAATCTGGAAAAATGAAGAGACTGATGTTAGAGAGATAATCAAGTTGCTGAAGTAATTCAAACGAGCTAACGACAAGCAGGAGTAAATCTGAAAAAATTATTGAAAAAAAAACCCTATAAGCTAAACTGCATGTAGAAGACAGGAGGAAGAAACTCAAACATTAAACCATGATACTGTGGCCTGAGAAACTCAGATAGTGTTCATGTTTCTGATTGTAACTACATACTAGGAGCTTTCATAACTAACCTCTGGCACAGCGCATGACACACAGTAGGTGCCTAATTAATGAATATGTGTTGAATAAACAAATGTGTTACTGAGGTATATGGACTACAAATTAATACCAGCAGTTTTAAAGAATGCTACTTTTTCAAATCTATCCTCACGGTAAACTCCACACTCCCAGCAGTTCTTCTCAGTGTGCACTTACCTTTTCGCAGTGCACTCCTTCCTCAGCTCATTTAGGGATTCCTTCTGGAGTTGAAGTTTGAGATGCTCAGCTGAAAATGCACTTCCTAAAAAGAAAAGGAAGGAGACAAATCCATATGTAACATAGGATTACTCAATCACAACCAAAGAGGCCAAGCCAAATCCCTGACTGTGAGAGGGAAATAAAAAGAGTTAGGGAAAGTGGGTTGAGTACAGAGATCTTCTGGGGAGAGGAGCTAGAATAAACTTCCCTATTGGTCCAATTTTCACACAAGTCCAGCCTCTGGCAGGAGCCTAAGAATATATGCCTAAGACTCTCTGCCTATAGATATTTCTCAATTACTGACTGAGAAAGATGGTCAGCAATTGATAAGATACCAAAAAACTGAGTGGTTAATTCCTTTCCAACCAAAAATGCTACAGAATAACATTACTGAAAGTATATTTTAAAAAAGAGTAAAAAAGTACCTGTATTTTGACTACTAAAATATAGTTGATAAATGTAAGTAGTTTTTATGAACTGTCATCTTCCTCATATATATCATTACTTTAGGCCGGGCACGGTGGCTCATGCCTGTAATCCCAGCACTTTGGGAGGCCAAGGCTGGCAGATCACTTGAGGTCAGGAGTTCGAGACCAGCCTGGCTAACATGGTGAAACCCCATCTCTACTGAAAATACAAAAATTAGCTGGAAATTGCTTGAACGTGGGAGGTGGAGGTTGCAGTGAGCCAAGATTGTGACACTGCATTCCAGCCTGGGAAACAGAATGCGACTCTGTCTCCACACAACCCCCACCCCCCCGCAAAAAATCAGTATTTTAGTGAAAATCATAGTGTATAGGAAATGTGTATTTTGATTTTTCAACTATTTTTACATGATGACAGATAACCTGAGCTATAGCTGAACAAAATTTAACTCCATGAATGTGAATTACAGGAATATTTCACATTTTAAATGATACCCTCATACCTCAATTCTCCGTTTTTTTTTTTGTTTTTTTTTTTTAAAGACAGGGTTTCTCTCTGTTGCCCAAGCTGGAATATAGTGGCATGACCAGAGCTAAATGAAGACTGAACTTCCCCAAGCTGAGGTGATCCTCCTGCCTCAGCCTCCTGAGTAGCTGCGACAACAGGCACACGTCACAGTGCCCAACTAATTTTTGTATTTTTTGTAGAGATAGGGTCACCATGTTGTCCAGGTTGATCCTGAACTCCTGAGCTCAAGCTGTGAGCTGCCTGCCGTGGCCTCCCAAAGAGCTAGGATTACAGGTGTGAGCTACAGTGCCCGGCCTTCCCAACATATTTAAGCACGCTTCTCTTCTCTTTCAACGTGCTATGAAGACCAGTAAGCTGGGAACTCTGACCCCAAAAGAATTTAACCAAGGAACACAACTTTTCAGCCCACAATATAATTTCTTCCCAAATCTTCACCTTAGTGATTTTTTTAAGACCTTTAGGTTGACACCCTCTACCCCCACATACTTCATCAGAAAGTATATGAATTCTTCTACCACTAGAGAAATGTGCCATATCATTCTTCATCCCAGATAAATTAGGCTGCCTCAACTCAAACAGTGTTAACAAGACCACAAATAGGGACCAAAGACAGATCTGGGCTTCAAAACACAAATAAGTGTCCCCCTCCTCAGTTCAGAAGACTCTAGAATATGTTGTTACATGACCTCCCCTCAAGAAAATTCCTTGGCCGGGGGCGGTGGCTCAAGCCTGTAATCCCAGCACTTTGGGAGGCCGAGACGGGCGGATCACGAGGTCACGAGATCAAGACCATCCTGGCTAACACGGTGAAACCCCGTTTCTACTAAAAAAATACAAAAAACTAGCCGGGCGAGGTGGCGGGCACCTGTAGTCCCAGCTACTTAGGAGGCTGAGGCAGGAGAATGGCGTGAACCCGGGAGGCGGAGCTTGCAGTGAGCTGAGATCCAGCCACTGCACTCCAGCCTGGGCGACAGAGTGAGACTCCGTCTCAAAAAAAAAAAAAAAAAGAAAAAAAAAGAAAAGAAAATTCCTTGCAATGTGGTAAAAAGGAAATTTTAAAAAATATCCTAACCAGCTAACGAATAGGTTAAAATGTAACACATCACATTCATTTCTCTATGAAAGGTAATACAGCTTATTGGTTCCACAGGAGTGGGCTCTGGAATAAAACTGAAGCAGTTTGGGTTATTTAGGGTCAGATAGAGAAGAACTAAGTATTCGAAGATACTTCAGAAAACTCAACCTAAATTCTAAAAGTCACTTCAAAATAAGTAATTATACTGAGGCAATGGTATACTCAAGCTCTACAAGGGTTGTTCAGGTTTTATATCACCAACCTGAATACTACATGACTGATGTTGTGTCCTTCTAAGGGTATCATATCTGGAAGCAATGATGTCCATGTTTAAGAGCATGCACACATCCTGCTTCTCATGTAAATTTCTCTCTAGAATGAGCTTGATTAATAGTTTCTGTTTAAATCAATCTTTACTACAAATGCTGAAAAATAATATTCCAACTTCAGTAATTCCTCCATAATTATCAGTCAGCACTCAGCATTCTTCTCTAAGCAGGAGTCCCCCGTCTTCTCTATTAACTATCCATTATCAGTACAGAATTATTAATTCCTTTTTATTTTTCAATGATTTGTAACTTATTACTGTACATAATTATTTGGTGCTTAAGTGATCCCAGATTCAGCCAGTGGGACTCTCTTCAACCTGCCTCTAATGTCCTTGTGAGATGTTACCATCATGTTTTTTAAAATACTACATTATAATCTTAATTTCTGTAGGATCTGTAGTGCTGTCCCCTCTCTTTCCTGATATTGATAATTTGTATTTTCTCTCTTTTTACTTAGTTAATATGGCTACAGGTTTATCAATTTTAGCGATCTTTTCAAGGAACTACCTTGTGGTTTCACTGACATCCTCTACTCTTTCAGTTTTCAATTTCACTGATTATTGGCCTTTATTATTTCCTTCGTTCGATCTGACTTGGGTTTAATTTGCTCTTCTTTTCTAATTTGTTAAGATACAAGTTTACATTATTGATTGGAGATGTTCTTTTCTAATATTGGCTATAAATTTACCTCAAACTTCAAATGCTGTATTTTCATTTTCATTCATTTCAAAATACTTTCCAATTTTCTTGTGATTTCTTCTTTGACCCATGGTTTATAATATATATATTGTGTAATTGAGAAATATTTGGAATTTTCTAGATATTTTCTGTTAGTAACTGGTAGTTTATTCTGTTTTGGTGAGAAAACATACTTTGTATGATTTTAATTATTCTGTATTTGTTTGTTTTATGGTACCAAATGTGGTCTAACTGAATGTTCCATGTATACTTGAAAGAAATGCATATTCTGCTAGTGTTCAGTGGAGTGGTATGCTATCAATTAGGTCAAGAAAATTGACAGTCATGTCTTTTAACTGATTTTCTCTCTATCTTTATCACTGAGGATGAGTGTTGTGGTTTCCAACTATAATTGTGCATTTGCTTATTTCTCCTTTCAGTTCTATCAATTTTTGCTTTATCTATATTAAAACAATATTGCTATGTTCACACTTATTTAGAATTGTTATGTCTTTTGGTGAACTGACCTCTTTACCAAGATGTAGTATCCCTCTTTATTCCAGGTAATAATCCTTGTTTTGAAGTCTACTTTGCCAGATATTAATATAGACACTACAGTTTTATTTTGACTGTTATTTACATGGTACATCTTTTTCCATCCTTTAACTTTTATTCTATCTTTTTTCTTTTTTTCCTTTTTTTTTTTTTAAGAGACAGGGTCTCACTCTGTTGCCCAGGCTATGGTGCAGTGTGCAGTGGTGTAATCTTAGCTTACTGCAGCCTCCAACTCCTGGACTCAAGCAATCCTCCTGTCTCAGCCTCCTAAGTAGCTAGGAATATAGGTGCATGCATCATGTCTGGTGAATTTTTAAGTTTTTGTGTGTGTGTGTTGATGGAATCTCACTATGTTGCCCAGGCTGGTCTCGAACTCCCAGCTTCAAGCAATCCTCCTGCTTTGGCCTTCCAAAGTGCTAGGACTACACATGTGAGCCACCACACCTGGCGATATATCTACCTTTATATTCAAAGTGGATTTCTTGTAGACAGTATTTATTTGGGTCTTGTTTTTGTTTTGTTGTAAATCAAATCTGGACAATCTCTTTTGTAACTAGAATATTCAGACTACTTACACCTAATATAAACACTGCTATGATTAAAATCTACCATTTTGCTAGCTGTTTTCAGTATGTTCCATCTCTTCTTTGTTCCTTTCTCTCTCTCTTTTTAAATGCTATTGGATTGAGTATTTTTTAGTATTTCATTTTTCTTCACTATTGGCTTATTTTTTAATCTCTTTAAAAATGTTTACTGGCTGCCCAGGAATTCACAAAATATATCTTTAATTAAGCATAGTCTACCTTCAAAAACAGGTTGAGCATACCTTATCCAAAATGCTTGGGATGGGAAGTGTTTTAGATTTAATTTTTTTTCAGATTTTGGAATATTTGCATTATACATACTGGTTCAACAACCTTAAACTCCAAAATCTGAAATCTGAAATGCTCCAAAGAGCATTTCCTTTGAGCATCATGTTGGCACCCAAAAAGTTTTAAATTTTGGAATATTTTGGATTTCAGATTTTCTGATTAGAAATATTCAACTTGTAATATTATACCACCTCACACAGAGCGTTAAAAAAACTAAAAACATGGCTGGGCACAGTGGCTCACACCTGTAATCCCAGCACTTTGAGAGGCCGAGGCGGGCAGATCATGAGGTCAGGAGTTCGAGACCAGCCTGACCACCATGGTGAAACTCCATCTCTACCAAAAATACAAAAAATTAGCTAGGTGTGGTGACGCGCACCTGTTAATCCCAGCTACTCAGGAGGCTGAGGCAGGAAAATCACTTGAACCCAGGGGGCGGAGGCTGCAGTGAGCCGAGATGGCACCACTGCACTCCAGCCTGGGTAACAAAAAAAGACTCTATCTCAAAAAAAAAAAAAAAAAAAAACTGAAAAAAGTATACTTTCAATTCTTCCATTTCCCAGTTTTCAAATTCTTCATA